GGTACTCACACGCTAGGCGCTTCGTCTGCTGGTGCTCCGAGAACGGCCTCTTTGCCTTTCCTGTCGTCGGGGACACGGTCGAGAAGTACCTGGAGCGGCGCCGCTCGGATGGACTTGGGCACTCCTTTTTGAAGGGTTTTGTTGAGTCGTCTGTTTTCCTTCAGTTTACGTTGGGAGTGGACGTCCAGCCGGGAGCGCTCTCGACGCCAGTGGTGAACGGTCTCATCAGATCTGCGCAAGCTTCCCGGCCCAGCGACAGACAAGCTCGGCCCTTCACGGTCGCCGAAGTCTTGGCCCTGGAGTCTGTCCTGGCGAACGCGGACAGGCCGGCTGTCGACCGCTACGCTGCCGGCTGTGCCCTGACCTGCGTCTACCTTCGAGCTCGAATCGGCGACCTCAAGTGTGTCAAGTCGGTGGTCTTCGACCAGGTGGAGGAGGGTGAGGACGGTTTCGCAGGCTACGTCGAGTTGTCCACCGACAGTCACAAGACCAGGATGACGGGTGGCCGGCAAGGCGTGGTTTTGGCCCTTGCTGGGCCGGCAAAGGGGCTAGGCCCCGGCGTCTGGGCCTCCGACTTCAGGGATGTTGCTGCCCTTCTGAACCGTCCTCTGGGCCTTAACCACGGGAAACCGCCCCCCAACCAGCCCGGCTGCCTTAGGTTCCCATCGATGCTGGCTCCGCTGCTGTCTGGATTCAGAGCCTCCTTCGGCAAGAGGGCCCGCAGTGGCCAAGAATCCACGGGGCACAGCTGCAAGTCCACGACCCTGGCGTGGGCTGCTCGGGCAGGAGTCCCTGTAGCGTGGCGATCACGTATTCTCGTGACGCCCTGGCAGGCCCTCTTCGTGAGCTGGACCGTGTCATGAGTCTGATCAGGAAGAAGGAGTTCGACCCCGACGCCACTCGTTCAGGACTGCTTCGGGCCGCGCCCTTCAGTGACGAAAGTGGGCCGTTTGCCCTTGCCGACTACTCCGAGAACGTGGACCGTTGCAAGACCTGTGAGCAGGAGGGAGTTCCTCCCCCTCCGGA